AAATAGTCATTTCATTTTCTGTTGGAGAAAGTCCCTTTGGTGAATGCGTTTCTGCTGTTCTCTGCACTGCACTGGCTAATATAGTTTCTTCCATCTGGGCAGCAGTTTCTGTTTTCTTTGATGAGAATGAAAGGCTCTCAGGGCTTGTTTCTGGAGTTTCTGCCAAGCCCTCATGCTTATAACTTTCCTCAGAGCTGTTCTGGGGAGTTCCATCAAGCAGGCTACCAACTGGAGAGTCTGCTATGCCTTCGTGTTTAAGACTTTCTGAGCTGCCATCTAAAGCACCACTTTGCAAGGAGAGTGTGGGCAAAAACCCATCTTTCACATATTCTGATGGAAATGTAACATTGAATGGACTGGTCAGAACTTGATCTAAGTGAAGCTCACCTTCCTCTGTAATTGAAATGTGCCGGAACTGTTGGTATTTATCATTGTCCTCCAGCTCTTCTTTTATGACTTCAGAAAAATCAGTTGATGTCTTTCTGTCTGGACTGATTTGAAGCTCAGTGTCCCCTTGGTCATCAAATGTCAGGACTACATCCTTGGATTTTTCTTCAACAGCGCCAGGAGATTCTTTTTTGGTGTCACTCTGTGGTTTTGCAGTTAAATCTTTCTTCAAGGTTATATGAGGTATACCCTGTGTGACTTTTTTAGATTGCAAACCTACCTCTGTCTGAGGTTCCTGGGTCTTTTTGCTTTTAGGACTGTCTTTTTTGTGTGTGTCTCTAGGTGTTAATGCTGGCTTCTTTTCACTTTCTGCTTGAGTGGCTCCTTTTTTAGTTGTCTCTTTGTCAGTATCCTGTTGTTTCTGCTTTATAGACTTATGCTCAAAAAGGCCAGCTTTATGCTTTGATGGGTCTTGACCTGACTGGAAAGCTTTCATTAGTTCGCGAACAGACATAGTTTCTTCAAGTCTTTCTGTTTTGGAAGATGGTGAAAGAGATGGCTTCTTAGATGTAGGAGAAACTGGAGGCTTTTTAGCTGTAGGAGAAACTGGTGGCTTTTTAACTGTGGGAGAAACTGGTGGCTTCCTTGATGTGGGAGAGACAGCTGGCTTTTTTGTGGTAGGAGAAACAACTGGCTTCTTAGTAGAAGGAGATGAGAGTTTTGAAGGAGAAGAAGCAGCAGCAGAAGTCTTTGGAGAAGCTGGAATCTTTGTGGATGAGGGAGAAGCCGGAGTCTTTGAGGCAGAGGGAGAACTTGAGGGTTTTGTTTTATAAATAATCTTTTTAGTTTGTGATGGCTTTGTAATAGGCTTCTCAGATCCTTCCTTTCCTTGGACTCGAACTGGCAACTTTGAACGCCCTTTCTGTTCATCTTCTACTCGCTTCTGAAGAGCTTTCACTTTATCTTTGATTGACCCAATAGGGGTTTCTTCTATAACTGGAGACACAGCAGTATTCTTCACAGGCTCTGCAGTAGATAATAGTTGTTCTTCGTCTAAAGATTCCTCTGAACTGAACCTGTTCAGCCCTAAATTTTCATCCTTTCCTTGGGTTTCTTCAACCTTTAGCTTTTCTTTATCTTTTAATTTCTTTCTAACAGGTTTTTTAATTTCCAAGGTAGGTTTGCATTGACCTTGCTTCATTTGGTCTTTTTCATCTGCTTCAGAACCTCTGCTTATAACGACAGCTTCAAATCTTTCTTCTACTATGTCTTCTTGAAATGTCTGGGGCTGCATTTCATTCAAAGACACATAAACTTTTAGATCCTTGCTGAGATAATCAATCATTCCTGTCATATCTTTTGTTTCTTTCTCTGATTTTCTTTTGCCTGTTCTATTTTCTACACAAATAGGCTCACTGACTTCCAAAGGAGCATTTTGCTTGGCCTCTTCAATTTCTTCATCACTTACAATAACCCAGTCTTCTTCCACCAACTTTTTTTCAGAAGCAGATCTTTGTAAATCTGGCTTTTCTTTGGGGCAGCTCCCACTTCTTAGAATTTCATTTACTTTTTCTAAGTCCTCTTTAACTCTTTCCACAATTTCAAATGGTTCTCCAGGCTCTTCATCAGCAGCTTTTGCAAGATCTTTCACCTTAATAGAACCTGTTTTTTCAGAAGAATCTGTTGTCAAAATTGCAGTCATTTTTATCAAATCTTGTTTCATCTCAGAGACTTCAGATAGCAAATCTGGACTTGCTAGGACAGGAACATCATTGACAAGATGGCTTTTCAGGATAGATGTTTCTGTAGATTCTGTTTCGTCATCATCTTTGATGGAAATGGGGGAAAACATTGGAAATAAATGGAAATCAAAAATAGAGATTGTCAAATGTAATCAGGACTGAAATGACTGTTTTTGATTGCAGCAGTAGTAGCATCAACAAAATGGTCTGGGAATGGTGGGTCCACAAATCTGATGGTGGGGGAAAAAAAAACCAAAGCAAAGCAAATAGGGAAAACTGAAAAGGAAAGTGGGCAGGAAATAACTTGCTTAGTTTTAGCAGTACAGCACATCCATACACACAACACCAAAGCTTTTATAAACCAAGACACCATAAAAACAAATTCAGGGAAGAAAAAGAAAGCGTGGAATTTACACAAAGATAGATATCTCAAGATTGTTCAGGTGTTACAGATTAATGCTCAAATAAAAAGAGAGAACAAAAGAAAGATTGTAACTGTTTGAAAATTGATGTCCTCAAAGAGAAAGCCAGTGGTAGCAAACTTCAGAACCATAATTAGTTGATATGTAGGTATAAACTTTACTCAATAATCGAAGTAAAAAAAGAAATCTATATTTACATGTAATTCTACAATACTCTACAATAAATGAAATACATTGATATCTGAGGTAGCTGCAAACCGGCATTTCATCTAAGGGGAATCTTACATCCAAATAATGACACAGACACAATAGTTATTTCAAGAGGCATGGTCCTTCTCTTGGAACATCCTCATATTGAAATAAATAAGATGAAAAAATAAGGGGGCAATTAAAACAACAATACCACAGAACAAAGAATTCAAATGTTCAGGAAGAAAATGTAATGAATGGCAACCAGAAACATTCATACAGGGCACAGAGATATACAGACACAAACATACACACGATATATATACATATATATATGTAAGCCAAGTTATTTCCATGCAAAGCAAAGCTGTTGCATACATTGCAGGGTAACCACCCTTATATTAAAAGAAGCCCAATAAAACTTAAATGGTTAAAAATTAAAATGGAATTAAGTCATGTGGAAAATACTGTGGTGAAGTGTTGTTTTCTATACCCAATGTACTTCATATCTGACTTTGAAAAAATATAGGAGGTGACAAGAATAAAGAGAAAAAGATTTGCAGTATGGCTCCTTTTAGAGAAATCAAGGACTCTAGTTATTTGTAATTTAGTTTTTCGGTCTATCAGAGTGTTCTGCTATTTCTTACCTTATTTGTTAATGCAATTGTGTCCATTTCCTCAACCTCATACCACCACCACCACCACCACCCCATTACTATCTTGCCTGGCCTGTCACCCTTTTCCATGATCAGCCAGCTGTGGCTGTGAGATGTGGATGTTAGAGACATGCCTGATGCTACTTGTATATATTCAACTTGTCCCCCTTTCTCTCTTTTCTGGGTTGTTATGCATCTTCTGAGACATTGGAGAGTTTGCTCTAATTGCTGATGGTGTCATGAAAGCTTACTAGTTCTCTGCTGGTGCAGCACATCATGGTATATCAGGCACTTCCTGAATAAAGTGGGCAGGGACTTGGCATTCTCCAAATAGCAAGGTTTGACTTAGCTACTGCTATTGTCAAATATGATTTGACTGAGTTAGTGGCTGATTGTCAGCCTTACAAGATAGACCACACAAGAAACACAACCAGTTATGCTAATTCTACTTTATTGTAAAACTACATTAACAGAATCTTGCAAGTCTACATCTCTCCCCAGTCTCCTTTACAGCCCAACAAACTGGGGAGGGACGCTTCAGAGCCTCTTGCTCTGTCCACATTCCTGCTGTGGGCTCAGCTGCCTTTTATCTGACCATTCCCTTGGTTGCATCTCTTTGCCTTGCCTCTCAAGGTCTTTCCCACATATCATTATACAGATTGATTTGGGTAAGATGTTGAATCTGACCAGCCTCAACTACCTACTTCTATAATGTGGCCTCATTCTCTGTATACTTCTGAGTAGCTATCACAGGACATAACTCACATAAAGCCGGCACTAGGGCACAAGAATGCTTTTTTTAAATAGCCATTTGTAGCATGATGTAGAGAACCACTTTGGTGTAATCACTTGGTTTGGTGATTAAAGGCACCAAACCAAGAGACTGTGAGTTCTAGTTCTGACTTAGGCGCAAAACCAGTTGGGTACTTTGGGTCAGTCATTCTCTCTCAGCCCTAGGAAGAAGGCAATGGCAAATCACTTCCAAAAATGTTTCCAAGAAAATTGCATGTATTTGTACAAAAAGTTGCCAGGACAACCTAACTCCACACTCATCTGTAGGGATAATAATTCATTTCCAGCAACAATATTCTAAGACATAAAAAGCCTCATAGAAATACTTCACCAGAGTATTAAGGCATAGATGGATGGCTGAAAGATCTTTGTTACTTTCAACAGTATCACTTTTATATGAACACATAAACATTTCACATGAGAAATGTCATGAAGATTTTTGACCAACTGAACATTTTAATTTTTAAAAGTAATACTGTATTTAATTTATGAAATGCAATGATTTCAGGCCACGAACTTAAAATTGGAGTGGGGAAGGTGTTATAGAAGCCTAACAGCAATAGCAGGGTTACCAGGGAATGTAAAAAACAAAAAAACAAAAACAAGAATGCTTAGATGAACTGACTTAATATTTTAATTTTAAATTATTAATAACAAATAACAGGTTTCATCTAAAGGCTGTAGTTAGAGTATTAGAATCTTATATTTAGAAAGTTAATATGATCATCAGTGGCAATTAACATTTGCAATCTCTCTCATGCCTTCTTATTAGGTAATTTATGCACACCATTACATTTTTATTAAAATCTTACGTTTTTCTGATGTCATGTCAGTCTGAAAAAGAACAAAGAGCGAATGGGTTACAGAAACTTAACGTTACAATAATTGGTGGAGACTGTCAAGCTGAACTATACCTAGGCTAAGATCACTTCAGTTTTCAAATATAATACACATGATATTAACAGGTCAATTTTAAACATTCTCATACAAAGAACCTTATTGAATTCATTTCTTCTTGATAAATATTCTTAGGACTGCAGTTAAGCTAGTTACTTAGAGTGCTGGAATTAGCCATGCCTTTAAGTCATTAGTGATCATGAGTTAAATTTGTTAATTGGCAATACAGACAATGTAAATAGTTAATTCACTGCATTTATAGTGGACGTTAAAAACTGAGCACACCAGCCACTGAACTTGACAGGCAGAAATGGTAAATAATACTGAAATGGAAAGTGGGTTACTTTTAACTTGCACTTAGGAAAGTATTTTGAGAAAATAATAGCAAAAGTGGGAACATAAGGATCAAAGCATTTATAAGAATTTATATTTTTGCCATGTTTTGCCAGAAAATTTAGAGTCATTTATTTTACTGAAGTATTTTTAAGTGGAATTCTATTGTGAGAAAAATGAATCTTTGGGTGAAAAAGACAAGTTTCTAGAGGCCTCAGATGAATGGGATTGCCTCAATAAGATTG